GATTATTCTTTCATGCAGCATGCAATAATAATGAGACATGAAAAAGTGCTTTTTGTAACAATAAATTTCAGCTTTTGACTTCAATCATTATTGTACCTATTTTCTTCCTTCAAACACTACCTACCACTCCACTTTGAGCAATATGGACTTCTTCACACGTTTATATTGTTATTGTTGCTTTATTTTATACATACCTACTTACTTTTACTTGCTGTATATACAGGATGTTCCGAAATTCGATCGACCCTGTCCTGTACGTATATTTTCTTTGCTATCGCTTAAAAGTTAAAACTACTTATTTTATTAACTAAATTGATGTCAGACATATATGTATAAATCAGGGAAGATACTTTGCCGCTGTATTATTATTTTCCTGATTTCCATTTTTCTATTGTGATTATTTTGTAAATTGATTTTGTTCAAATATAATTAGGATTGTTTTTTATATCATATGTTTTCTTGTTTTTTCCCTTCTTGATGAACGTCGAATGAACATCTCATCAAATAGTTATTCATTATACAAGGGAAAAAAGTTGAAGATTTCAGCTCGAGGTGCGCTAAAATCTAATATTTGGCCCTTATAGAATACACTATTTTTTTCTGTGACAGAAAAAGGACGAATCAATATTGAGAAGATATTACATATAATAGGTATTAAAGTGATCGACGTGAACTCTGCATAATTCTGTTGAAGTAATCAAATATCTGTCGCAAATAAGAGAGAGAAACTCAGAGTCATTACCACAATTGTTCATAAAATGAACGAAAATGGTAGATAAAGAGAAAAAAACAACTACTTTAATTCGTCAATACGAATTATTGCAGATTTCGGGAGGATGTAATCTAATGTTTTCTGTGGCATATATAGCAATTTTCGTTAATTTTATGAAATATTGTGGTAATGACTTTGAGTTTCTCTCTCTTTGTGACCATTGCATTCCACTAACATTCCATTCCACTTTGAGTATTTGACTTTTTCCTAGTTGGAAATTTCTGTCAGTCTAATTCTGTGATTTGATTTAGAAAAATTGCGTACTCAGTGGTTGTTTAGTAATTTAAGTAACCGCGAAGTGGAATGGAAGATAAAAGGACTCGAAGTTATTTTAGGCTAATAAAATTAAATCGAAAAAAACCGTTTTGAGGAATTAATTTCCAGCAAACTGGAAATCGTTTTAATACCTTTATTTGGTCCTAAATGCGTGTAATCTGAGTTTGCACCATGTCAGGTGGTGAGCTTAACTTTTGATAGCCAAAAAAACCGCCACATTTTTGCACTTTTTTTATTTTTTTGCTTATAGCTGCAAAACGGTGCGTCGGACGGAAAATGTTATTCCATTCAATAATACAGAGGACAAAATTCTGCGTCGAATGACATCTGAAAACATCAAATTCCGTTCAGAGGTATAGCCGAAATCGAATGTTAAAAAAAAGAAAATTTCGTAGTTCGGTGCAAACTTACATTTTGCGGCTTTCCAAGACGACATTTCTTGAAAACAGATACTCCTATTGAAAAAATTCATTGAATAAAAGTTGTAGAGAATAAAATTTCATAATCATAGTTCCTAATAGTTAAGGTACAATGAAGGAACGAAAACACTTCATTGATGAACAGTTTGTGGTTTATGGTACTCAATGCAAAAAATCCATGGAATCATTTGTTTCTGAATGTTCAGGTAACAATAATTAAGGCTTTTAAACTCTTTTCAAATTGTGACAAAATTTTACACTACCTAATTTTATTTATTATTTACAATGAATTTTGTTTGGCGTTTGTAAAAAAAAATTTGTTTGCAACTCGTGCGCGAAATACTCTGGTGATTTCGACTATTTTTTAACTTGGCTGCGCCTCGTTAAAAAAATCAGCTCTCGATCACCAAAGTAGCATTTCGCGCACTAGATGAAAAATAATTATAAATTGATGCAAAATTTGGGACCGAAGCTGAACCGGGAATTCAGATATCCGGATAATTGGACAAATCAAGAAAACTTAAACATTTGGACATCTATCTATATAACGTAAAATTCTATTCTCTACAACTTTTATTTCATGGGTTTTTTCAATAGGAGTATCTGTTTTCACGATATGTCGTCTTGGAAAGCCGCAAAATGTAAGCTTGCACCGAACTACGAAATTTTCTTCTTTTTTAACATTCGATTTCGGCTATACTACTAAACGGAATTTGATGTTTTCAGATGTCATTCGACGCAGAATTTTGCCTTCTATATTATTGAATAGAATGACATTTTTCGACCGATGAACCATTTTGCAGCTATAAGCAAAATAATAAAAAAAGTGCAAAAATTTGGCGGTTTTTTGGCTATCAAAAGTTAAGCTCAACTCCTGGAATGGTGCAAACTTAGATTACACGCATTTGGGACCGAATGAAGGTAATTAAATGATTTCCAGCTTGCTGGAAATTAATTCCTCAAAATATAATTATTTGATTGGCCTATTTCTCGGAGATCGGTGCGTGTTATAGGTTTTAGGAACTAGTACAACAAAAGCCATCAACAGTGTATACACAGGGTGAGTCAGAATAAGACCGACAAACTTCGTACACGGATTCCTCACCTCATTTTCAGGTGAATAGTTCCTATCAATGTATGTCCAAAAGGTGTCGAAAATACAAAATATGAAACTCGGTATACCGATCCAGAATAATCAGGGTAAACACATGAGTTTTCGTTTCTTAATTTCGTCAACCAGTGGCGAAGTTAGGGTCGTATATCGAAACATTTTCCTTCATATTTTTCCTCAGACAGATGAATTATTGTCAAATTGGTGTATTACATCAGTTAGTCTTATCAATATACCTAACCTAAAAGTAATCACATTCTGCATTCCTAAATGAAGAGCTAGGTTCCCAAGATATTTGCAAAAAACTAAAGAGATATGTCTTGAGGTTGAGACCCAATTTGCTGATGCGTGCCATAATCGCATAATGCTGAACTTTTACGAGAAATATCACAACATTTTTCAACCTCCTGAACATGTTGATAAGATTAAAAGCATTGTACGGGTGAGTCCTACAGAATATATATAGATGGAGTTCTACCTGGTTTACTTGGAGAATTACTTATCTTATAGTTCGTCTTTGTTTAATCTATGGTTCGTCAAAGAATGTGGTATCAGCACGATAGAGCATCGGCCCTTTCCCAGCATACAGTTTCTTGACCAGAATTTCCCTGTTTAGTGGACAGGTAGATATATAGTCCCGTTAATTATTGGCCTATGGGGGTACCTCTCAGATCCATAGCTAGTCTATTCTACACCTGTAGAATCTGTAGAAGATATGAATGCTAGAATTTTAGCAGCAAGCATGGTAATCCAGAATACACCAGGCATCTTCCAAAACGTGCGACAAGTCCATGATCAGAAGATGTCAGTTATGTATTTTTGAATAAAATGGAGGTCCATTTGAACATTTGCTTCGAATTTAATTTTTGTTATTTCCTTTATAGTGCATAAATATTCTTTATGCACTAGCGGGCGGTAAAGTGCACTTTACCGCCCAGATTTGCGGGCGTAAAGTAGTACTTTACCGCCCGCGGGCCCATTATCGCCCACGGGCCATAAAGTGCACTTTACCGCCCGCTGTTATCAAGTCCCTTATATCCACACATCCATTTGTGGAATACCCATATTTGAACTCTCAGCTGATTCTATCGTTATGATTATGATGTATGTTATATTGTTCATCCGATTCCATCTTCGCTATAACTTCCTTCTTTGAATAGTTGCTTTCTGACTGTCTGAAGTTTTTAGCGAAAAGATGACAATTTCAGCTTGTTTTTTCGATGTATTGCTAGACAGCAACCATCAGATTGATTGACAACGTCAAATTCAGGTAGCTATATACTGGGTATACATATTGTTACATCTCAAGGAATGAATCTCTGTTAGTGAACGAAGAGTTTTACTCTTACGATATTGCGATATTCGTACGGTAATTTTAATATGTAGATTATACACATAAACATTGCGCTTCTCTTGAAAACTGAATATATGAGTGACATATGAATTGTATTTTGTTAAAATCTAGTCATTACTTGTGACTCGTGAAATAAACCACTATATAGTGCATAAAATTTTGTATGTATCACGTACGTAAAATGCGTTTATGGCCTTCAGCGTGTAATGGCCCTTGGCTAGCGCCATCGGGCCATTATTCACGCCACAGGCCATAAACGCCTACTTTACGCCCTTGATACATAAATAACTAATATGCGCCAAATATATCAAAATACTTAAAATTTGTTACTGTTTGACATATTAAAAACGTTGCCATTGTTCCCCTTCATTGAAAACCGTTGTATCTTATTTTAATAGTTTGATGGTTCTGACAAATTTAAGATGGCTTTTACGACTATTAACCTCAAGTTTGTTCTGACTCACCCACACCATGTTTTTAATTTTTTCGATATTCAAAAATATTCCGGAGGTTGAAAAGTAATATCGATATCTCGTATAATATCAGCATTATGCGATTATGACATGTCTTGAGTTTTACGCAAATATCTCCGGAACCTCTATACATTTTGGCAAACAAAAGCGCATCAGCAAGTACACCATCTACTTATTATTTCCATCATTTTAACTTCAACATATCCCGATGAAAATAATTTATTTCCATCATTTTAACATCAACTTCTCCCGTGTCTCGTGATAATGATGGAAATAAGTATATGGTGCGCGAAAGCGGGACGCCGAATCAATCAACTTGAATGCTGCTAGAATGGTGATGCTGCTATTGCTGCTGTGACGAGTGTGACGATTGAAAGTAAAATGGCATTTTGGATTCGCGGAGCAATATGTAAAAGTGGATTTATTTCACTCAAAATTCGAAAAATCTGCGGCAATTTAAAAATTAACAGATGTCATAACTATAATTGTACAATGTCGCCATCTATTGGAAAATCGCTGAAACCATTTTCTCGAGAGGTCGAGAAGAATTTCTGAAACAAAAGCGCATCAGTTACTACACCCATAGCAAAGAGTTAAACCACCATCTACTTATTTCCAAAATTCTCGTGTTTAAAGATAAAAATGAAGAAGAGGAAACGTGAAAGGTCTCTTGCACCAAAGTTCCTATGTGAAGATTCCTATAAAGGCAAAAGAAAACCTGAGAATGTAAATTTTTTAACTGTACCGAGTACCGTCAGTCTGTCACTGTCAGAAGTGTCAGAGTGTCACTTTCAGGTTATGTTATACAAATACAAATTGTGTTCGTAAATAAAAAAGTTAATAATAATAATATAAAATTATTATTGTGTGATTAAAAAATTCGTAAGTTGTCATCATAGACGTCACGTATTGTGAACATAAATCCGAAAAATTTTAATAATCATGCGATAGTTACAATCAGGGACCTTCATGACTGCTTTGAAACTCTGACATAAGACGCAATAATGTATTGATTGATGAATGACTAATACATTATTGTTGGTACTCCTCTAAACAAACAAGAAAATGAAATTTGAATCATAACATAATACTATTTATATCAATGTATTCAGTTCTGAACTTCTCAACTAACATTTAAGTGTCGTCAATCACTAAGAAGATAAATTCATTATCATCGAAATTCTGAGATCTTTTATGAATACACAGATTAAGATGACAGTCCAACAATACTGTCTGAGATGGAATAACCACCAGCCCAATTTCATATCGGTTTTCTCAAGTTTACTGAGTAGTCAGTCTCTAGTTGATGTCACATTGGCTGCAGAAGGAAAGCAGTTACAAGCTCATAAAGTAGTACTATCTGCTTGCAGTTCTTACTTCCAGGTATGTTCATGTTTGTTATCAGAATTGAATCCACATACCATGTTCCTGGGGAATGCTGAGTACATCATTATAACCTGTTAACATAACATAATGATTTGTTTTAGCCTGATATGGATGAACTAATTATGGCATTTTTCTAGGCTCTTTTTGCCATGAACCCATGCAAGCATCCTATAGTCATATTAAAAGATGTTAAATTTAGTGATCTGAGAGTGATGGTTGATTTTATGTATCATGGAGAAGTTAGTGTCTCCCAAGAACAATTACCTTGTATTTTGAAAACTGCAGAAATGCTAAAAATCAAAGGTATGGTAAACTGGATCACACTGGAATAATTTAACTGATACCTATCAAAATCAAAATGTAATGATCTTGGTTGGAATACTGTATTTATTCAATATACTTGAAGAAGAATAGGCTTAAGCTGAGATCAATCTATATTCAAGGTCTTACTGAAATACCTGTGGAAAATTCAGCAACCAAGTGTCAAAATTATACCACTGAAAATCCAGATATACCAAGTCATGAGGAAGAAAATTGGAATGTAGAGGAGCCTAATAGGAGTACCAGTCCATCTTCACCATCTAGTAAAAGGTATTTCAAAAGATGCATTTATCTTCTGACTGACAAAAGAGCTCTTTTCATATTAGAGAAACTAAACTGTATAATGTAATGTTTTGATCTTTTCCTTTTTTTTCTCAAGAATAAAGTAGAATGAGGAAAACTCTGAAAATTTCTATTGGGTGTTTCTTTTCCTGCACTAATCTAACAATCATGACCTATGGGCATGCTGCTGTAATTACTGACTAAACTGTGAGAGGTTCAAAAGATAACTTTTAAAGTTTTCTACATATGAAACCTAATATATATTTTTTCAAATTCAATACCAATAGTTCCTCTTTTACTTCTTTGTTTACATCATCTTGTTGTTGAAGGAATAGAAATCACTTGAAAAAACATTACCTTTTGGTCTCTTCTATCTTGAATACAAATAGTTTTTTACCAACTGTATATAGGTACTTTCTTATGTTTATGAAAGGAGACTATGCTCTGTTCATTAGATTTCAGGAATGTCCTGTACATACTTGGTTGTATTCTAGGAAAAGGTTAAAGAAAAATGTCATATGTACAGCTACAGTAACTGAACAACCAGAAGCAGCATCTGATGAAATTCTGTTGAGTACAGTTGATAATGTATTTGAAACAGTTTTGAAGACAGAACCTGACAGACAAAGCACTGACAACTATGGACATAGATATAGTTCAACTCCAACTCCAATTCAAACAATACATCCTGCATCATCACATCACAGAGAATCAAAGCCAACACATCAAATAATAACAGTAAGTTGATGAAAATAAATTATTTTCCTCATACAGTTTTCAAGACTAAGAAGAGAAATAACTTTGACAGAATATATTTACATTTTGAGTGCTACACATACAGAAGCATGTCCCTTGACAATCTGAAAAACAAATTAAAAGCTTATTACATTATTCAAGGCTTCCACCAGGGACCTGGACCAACACAATATTTTTCTCAATTAACCTTTTTATTGTATTGTATGTACTATTAGGCCATGTTTTGTGTATTTTGAAGACACAACAGAATTTTTTCGTTATATGATGTGGTCAACACCCTACTGGGTACTTTAATGAGTAAATTTCCTCAAAATAAACCACACAAAGCAGGTCAACATGATAAGTAAATAAGGTAAAGGAAAGTTTAAATGCAGATTTGAATTATTTAAAATCAAAATGAGATGCCTTCCAGAGATCAAGAATAGATTTACTCACCAGTACCATCTGAACTTGTTGTTGGGTAGATCTTCTTGCTTGAAAAGGGTCACTCAATTATGCAACTAAAAAATAGTGTGGGCAATATATGCCTGCCCATCATATCACTTACTTTTACAATTTGATAGTGAATACCCCTTTTAACGATGGCAGTATTTATTAATCTGACCAAAATACATAAAATATCCCTCTCAGGCACAGATTCAACCTTTTGATGATTGACAAACTGAATTAGTTAATTATATTTCAAAAGTGACATCAGCTCTCAGAATATCAAAATACAGGATGTTGTAGATGATATTGAATGAAATACCTAACAAATTTGAGTGAATTCAAAAATGTCATCTCCACAGCTCATGCACATGTCAATGAAAATCAAACCTGAAAGGCCTGATCGAGGGGGCGACCACTCTCTGCAATACGTGTACATTTGGTCTGAAATCACTTGCAATCGTCACTGAAATCCCCTGAAATCCCGCAGTCAATTTGCAATCGCCGAAATCCCTATCTGCAATCCCGCAATCCCGCAATCGCTTTCGCAATCGCTTCCGCAATCGCGGAATTCATCGAATTCAATGATGGAGGGGATACGGCCCTTTGCGGTAAACCAACGAAGGTATATTATATTTTATGTTGTTTTTCGGTTATACGTTAATCTTTGAAGAATCTCTAGTGTAGTTTGAGTTTTGTGTGAAAAAATCGACATTATGTTGGTTCTTCGCAGACAAAAAAGGGAAACTATCATCTGACAGACAAATTCCTTGTTGAGGTATGTCAACACGAAGTCAAAATCTTGGTCAAATCGAGGGTCAAATGAATAATTCCACTTCTTCTGCCACAAAGAAAAAACAGAACAAAAAACCGTCAAAAAAATCGAAGAATCATCATGTTGGGGAAACCTCGGATAGTGAAAGTGACGTATGCTATTCTGAGAAATCAGAATTTGAAAATTAAAGTTTTTCGGAGGAAGAATCAAATGGAGAGAAAAAAACGTCAATATGCATTGAAAACGAGATTGAAAAGTATTATGCAGCTATTTATGACACCTGATATATTGGACATATTTTAGAGATCCTCGGAAATGATACCTTTAGAATTAAGTTTTTCAAATCGGAGCTGGATATGTATACAGGCTGATCCACGGTGGATGGCCTATTAGAACTAGAATTAGTATCTGGAGAACGAAAAGACAGAACATTCTGAAAATTGGGATGCTTTGATAATTGAACATTCTCTATCCGTCTAAAATATTTTCATCGATACAGTGTTGCCACTTCTATCAGAAACTACTAGCAACTTCGTTATTTTAAATAGACCACCCTGTATTTTATTGAATTTTTAGATTCTCCTTGAAAAGCTGATTTCATCAATGCATCACACTTGGGGTCTAGCAGAAATGATTCCAGAGATATAGGGTGTTCATAATCGAGATTTTTCAATTTCAGGATTTTTTTGTGTCGAGAGTATTCATTATTGTTCAAAACGGTTTACATGTTCCTATCTTAACTTTCGATTCACTATCTACTGACATTTAATTGGAATAGATACAGGGTGATCAGAATTCTGAATCTTGGAGCACCCTGTATTTTTTCAATCAAATTCCAGTAGATAGTCAATCAAAAGTCAAGATAGGGACATGTGAGCCGTTTTGATCGCTAATGAATAGTTTAGACACAAAAAAATCTTAAAATTGAAAAATCTCGATTTTGAACACCTTATGTCTCTGTAATCATTCCTGCTAGACCCCAAGTGTGATACATCGATGAAATCAGCTCTTTAGAAAGAATCTAAAAATGCAATAAAATACAGGGTGTTCCATTTGAAATAACAAAGTTGCCAGTTGTTTCTGATAGAAGTGGCAACACTGTATCGATGAAAATATTTCAGATGGATAGAGAATGTTCAATTATCGAAGAATCGCAATTTTCAGAATGTTCTGTCTTTTCCTTCTCCAGATACTAATAGGACATCCACCGTGGATCACCCTGTATATGGCCTAATAGGGAAGATATTCAAGTTGTCGAAAAAAAGTACATATTGTATGGGCCAATCGACTAAGTCGGTAATGGACCTTTCCGCCTTAAAAGAAATGATATAATGAATATTGAGAAAAAATACAAAGATTCAAAGAAACAGTCAATTCGCTAACATGAATGCCAGTATAATATGCTATGTTCACTTTTATAAAATGAAAAACACCAGAGTTGAACGAATAATAAAAATGTTTATATGAGACAAAATGGTTTTTCAATAATTCCAAATTTTCTTCAATTATGTTTATACTTTATTTGGTTGTATAATCCGTCATGCTTGAATAATTAGGTAGATGCTCTACAATTCGAAAGGATTACCTATGTGGTAATTGAGCTCAATATCACATAAACTCTAATTCCAGAAATTCACCATTGCAATCAAGCTAGCAAATGAACCCACAATCGCGGAAATCGTCTCGCAATCCTCAATATAATTTCACAATCCCATTGCAGCCCCTGCAATCACTGAATTCAGTTCGCAATCCTCCGAAATCACAACAATTTACAAGGAATTCTCTGAAATCGCTGAAATCATGGGATTTCCGCAATACGTGTACATATTTTTCAGAGGTGGTCTCCCCCTCGGGCCTGATATTTGATGGGTACCTACCCAGTGGCCCAAATAATATTGTTCAATTATCCAAATAAGGTGTATGCAAATAAAACATAAAAATACCCTTAATAAAATCTTGAAAGATGAAGTGAATTATGTATGTATGTATGCTGTACAGGGTGGGCCAAATTGGTCACTTTTAAAGGGGAAGTCCTATACTCCAACTAGATAGAAGAAACGGGGCCTGAGGGTTGATTCTCATGCAAAACTCAATGGTGAAAACTGCATATCGATATCTGTCTTCCTTTTGGAGTTACAAGGTGTTCTTCAAAAATAGGCATTTTTGAAAAGTGGCTCTATAAATATTTTTTTGACAAAAATTGTATGAAAATAACTGCAAAGCATTGAGTTTGTGATATTAATCATTCCTGAGGCACTGAAATCCGCCTTCCTTTATCTTGTTCAAGAATATAATTTGTTCTTCTTGAAGGAAAAGCTCTATTTCAAAACTAGGTATATGGTGACTGATTTCGAGGATCAATTTTCATGACAAACACAATGCTTTGAAATTGTTTATTTCAAATCGCCTACAACAAGTATCTTGACAACAAAGCTTTTTATGTCTCATGATTATTAATAAATTTCGAAAATTTGTCTGGTGCCTGGAAAAGTCTTGATAATTAAAACTATGATATCCTGTATTGGCACTGTCTCCGAAAAAAAAAAAAAAAATACAGTGACCCATTCAAAATATAGTGCTGTATGAGTATGAAGTTTATCCCAAGTTTTTATTTTTATTCAGCAAGTTACACCTCCAGAAGTGACAACAGCACAAAATTTAGAATGCTCATCAATAGAAATACCAAGGATTTGTACAACGCAGCCCACTACTACAAGTGGTGAGTTATTACTTGCTTTATACTAATATGTGAAACTTGGTAAATATGTGGAAGTCACAAATTTCTACTACTAATATGTGAAACTTGGTAAATATGTGGAAGTCACAAATTTCTCATAACAGTTGATTGAGGTGTTGTTTGGTGAATATTGCAGGACACTTGAAAATTATTTCACTTACTTGAAGTTATGTCTTTCACCTCTATTTTTAAAAAAATAAATATGTAATGAAATGTTTGCAATAAAAGTGAGAATTTTGTGAATAAGAACAATTACATCTTCAATTTATTTGCTTGAACTATAAAATTGACAGACTCATTAGTTGCAGAATAACAGAGAAAGTTGTGAATATATTCTTTAAATATCTTTGCAACTTTTTATTGCGTTGGCTGTAGTGTATTGAGGGACTTTCACCTTCATTATAAACTTTATTTCAATCATGAAAATAGATCTTATTGAAGTGATCCACCAGTAAGCACCAATAGGTGCATATTTCTGAACAACCAATGAGAGCGAGAATTCTTTTTCTCGGTAGAGGTGTACTGAGATATTCATAATACAATAAAGATGAGTATACTATAAAATATGTAGGTGAAGAACTGTTGAACTCTATTATAACCCAAAATAACCCATCTATCCATCCATCCTAACCTAAACAAATCTAGCAGATACTGCGACTATTTCAATTCATTGAAAATCTTCAGATTTTTGAATTGTGTGAGTATTCAGAACAAATAAAATATATTGGTCCTCAGTATTATTTTTTTACAAACAACGACTTCTTGAGTGCACAAAATGTTTGTATTGATCACAAAGGATGTCACTCTCAATCCTGCATTCCCCGTGCTTTCCATGTTATGAAAGATCTTGGATTCCAACAATGATTTGATAAAGAAAAAATGGAAATATTACATACATGTGTTTTTTCGTTTTGTGATGAAGAAACTGGTTTTCAATATATTCCTTGAAATTCGCTCTATTGAATGAAGATAATTAGTTGATTTTGTGAATACAGGTGTTATAAATGTTCTGTGTTTATTTTTGATATATCTACTGGTGACCAGTGGCTAGCTCTACGGAAAATCTCACTTCCTTGTGGAAATAATCTCACTCCTTAGTAAAACATTTTCCATGAAGTAATAAGAGCACAAAAATTAATGTTACACTATTATGGGCGTGTTTACCCTATGATCCTAGTTATTTCTTATGTATATTTTCCTCACTCATCCAAATGGATTAACACAACTTAACCTTTAGTAATTTTTCCCATACTTTTCTTTTACATCATTCATTATCATCAAATTTTTGGAAGCATGTCAATCATTAGAAAATCGCAGAATATTCATGAATTTTCAACCGCTTTTGCTTGAATTAAATTGATCGGAAAATAAATTTAGTCTCATAATGTATGGATATATGTATATGAGTATTATCCACTTCCCCCGTGGTGGCTGGATAATTTATTGTTCCCTTCAATTCTTTTGGACCACGAAAATTAGTTGAAAATCAAGAAATAATAAATTAAGAATACCTTATATAAATTTCAATCTTGTAATATTAAAAATTGTCTGCTGAAATCTCAAAATTATGTTCTTCATTTTATGGGTACCTACAAAACTGACCCATTTGGTGTAAGGTTTTTACTGAATCCTAATTTTAAAAGATATTCAGGCTTTATTTTTTCTAAATTTGAATAATTTATATGTAACTCGAAAATTTTGTTACTAGAATATGCCATTTCAAAACTCTTGCAGTTTTTCTCACCAGTTCTACGACTTATACCTTGATATTTTTTTCCGATCCGAAGAAATTTGTCAATCAATAGGACGATTATGATTGATCAATAATATTTTTGTTTTACCTATTGAGTTACGAAACCCTGTATCAATTTATATCTGTTGTGGAACATCAAATTTCTCACTTTCACAGATCATCATACAGACAGTATTTAACAAATAATATAGATTCATAACTATGTATATCAAGTAGATGAAAATTGTTGTCACACACTATCAACACATGAGTAAAACTTGTATAGGAGAAATAGTTATTTATTATACAAGGGAAAAAAAGTAGTAGATTTTAGTTCCAGGTTGTGTTTTCTCCCGACGCGTAGCGGAGACAAAAAACCGTGAGCTAAAACCTAATATTTTTCCCGTGTATAATACACTATTTTTTTCTGTGACAGAAGAAAGGAAGAATCAATATAGAGAAGATATTACATTATTTTGAAAGCTGAAAATTATCGACGTGAAATTTTAAGTTTGTAACAGTAGGGTCACCTGATGCGTTGTAGGCATCTTCATCATTCTTTTGAAGTAATCAAATATCTGATGTCACTTCTGTCAGTCCAATCCTGTGATTTGATTTCAAAATATTGCGAATTTAGTGGTTGTTTTGAAATATACGTGACCGCGAAGTCGAATGGAAGATAAAAGGACTTGCAGTTCTTTCTCGGAGACGGTATTTTGACTCATTTTTCGAAACTATAGCACAACAAATGCCATCAAGAGTGTATATATATATATGATATATATATATCCGGGAAAAAAGTACTCACTTTTTTCCCACGGGAAAAAAGTAATTTATGAAAAGTGACATTTTATAACCTGCCAACAGAGATGAAATGCCAAACTTTTTTCCCGTCACAGAAAAAAATACATTTCATTTCTCCCAAGCCTTCTAAAAAATAATTACATTTCGATTTTGTTGTTGAGGAATCGTAGCCTCAATGAAGTTTTCTCTCAATATATTGTTGAGTTCATTTGTTGTGAGATTCCTGAAATGGTTTGGTAGTTTATAATATAATTCTGGAACTTGATAGACAAACATTTCTAGATTTATGTAGCCTAAGTATTAATTTTTATATTGTCCCTCTGCCTCAAAAATAAAACAGTGAATTACTTTGATTTTTGAATTCTCTGAAATGAAATTCTTTCAAGCTGAAGATGAAATGTTGGGAAGTAGCTTTCCAAAATACTTCTCGATAACCTTGCTAATTTCAGAGTGCCTTGGATATCTTCGTCATTTAAAGCCTTTAAGGAAGTGAAGAGACACTTCTCGTCGATCTCTCGATTTGTCATCATTTTCGGATGCAAATCTCCAGTTTTGAAAGTTTAATAGTCGTCCCAACAACAGGAAGATTTTGCGATGCAAATTAATCGAGAAAGAAAACACTAAAAGTCGAAACAAAAACAGTATATCATAAAATTGATGATTTTAAAGATAATTCATTTCTGAAAACTGAAAATTTTCAGATTTATCAAACAATTTCATTCGGGTATAAGATGAAAATAATTTTAGTTAGATAAGATAAGATAAGATAAGATATTTATTTCCAGTGAATGAGCATTTAGTGTTATGCCACTTCACTGTTTGGGTTTGAGTAAAAAATGCGTCTGCCCTCTGGAAAGGTACAAAAAATCATCATACCATCTCTCGTAACAATTCTTTTTGTCTCCTGTTATTTTATTATGCCTTTCGAAGGCTTAACTAGAGTATCTTCAATCACGAAAAAGTGGAAAGATATTCATGACACATCAGGAAGTATCATTCGGCTTGCGCTTCAATCATCACTCATTCTTTTATTTTCTGATTTCTAACCTCTGCTTATCATTGCAGGCATCCAATGGAATGTCCTGGATCAAACGAGCTTCACGCATTACTCATCACCCTCAGCGGTCCTATCAAATACCGTCGCATCGCAATTCACCCACACCGAAACCATCAATCCCACATCTCCCAACACCGCCCTATACCCTAACACGGTCACAGAAACTTACACCGGTATCAAACGAAAAAGAAATTTCAATCCGCAAGGAGATGAGAATTTTCTGAGAGCTCTAGAAGCTGTGAGATTCGGCGGCATAGGTTTTTGCAAGGCCGCTAAAATGTACGGGGTGAACAACCGCACCTTGTGGTTGGAGTACAAGAAGCGAGGCTATCCCAACTTCCGGCTGAGTATCAAGAACAGGCATCAGGTGCAGAATGTGCAAACGCAGGCTCCGCACGAAGAAGCGCAGCATCAGCAGCAGCAGCAGCAGCAGCAAATGTCGGAAGAGCAGGCTGTGGGCTATCGAAAGTGTGACGTCAGTCATCCGATCGCTATTATAAGCAGTGCGGTGTTCGACACCAAACATGTGCCACAACGATCTAAGTATTATGATGGGACAGAGCATCAGCCAGAGACTATTAGTTTCCAGAGCATTAATCTGGAACAGATGTGATGAAGTGAATTCGAGTTTACGGAAAGATATGTTGGAGTGTGTTGGGTATTTTGCAGGCAGTATATGCCTCTTTTACCTGGAACATTGCATTCAAACACTCATCAGACTTGATCATTACAATATGAATATATTCTGAATAGGTTAAATTGGTCCTGTGACTTACGAGATGATTTCCAATGGCTTCCAGATGACTTTTTCGCTTGTTGATTTTTTTGTTCGTAACATTGTTGTTAAGTTTGGTGCCACTGAACTACATCCAGCCAAATTTCCAAATGCTGTTTCTTTCGAAATAGGAACTGGGATTCCAGGACATTGATTGAATTGGTTGATATGCTTATGGATTATCATTGTTTGAACTATTTATTACGTAACTAAATCCAAACTTGGTTTCAATTCATTAAGCTTCTACAAATGACTGATTTGACTAGCCTAGGGTGGCTCATATTTCCTTGCCATCAATGAATTTCGACAAGAATGTATTTATTTGGAACAAGTTTTGTTGTGCCCCTGCTTGAAGTTGAAAGTGAATAAATATTGTAAGTTGAGAACAAGATGTATGTACTGAAAGGCAACTCTTAATTTTCCATGTAAAGTACTAAAAGTTTAAAAGGTATTCTCGAAGGTGTTGAGGCATTCATTGCATGATATACTCAGAATCATTTCTCGAAAATTTGTTTTTGAATTCGAAATTTTCAAAACAACGAAGATAAAGAACTGATCAATAGGTATTTTTCTTCAATTTGTTACCAGTCCTTTGAAGCACATACAATCAAGCT